TGCCCACATAGAAATAACTCCACTTGGAAAAAACCCCATGTGGGAAAATGCTCACACGGAAAGAAGCCCACATGGAAAGATACCATGTAAAGTGCCATAGATATTTACAATTGTGGATAACCATTCCTCTCCACGTATGATATTGAACAGGTATTACCTATTTTATATTCAGTTCAGTTCAGTTAACCTTTATTGGCATAAAAATACCTTAAAAGAGGATTACTATAAAAAAAGAAATATAAATTTAAAACCATATAGAGGCAAGCATTTTACCGACTACATAATATTGCATAGTATTGCAGAAAACAATTACTCATTGGTAGTTTTCCTGGCGTAGCTGATTGTAAAAACATTTATTGATATTTCCGGGAAAAAGAGTCATTTAGAAGACAGTGCACTTTTAAAGCATCAGGAAGGTTCGTCATGTTGGCTAAGATAGGATTTAAATATCTAGAGCGTAAATCCACATAAAATTGACAGTGCAAACAAATATTGTTGTTTTAGGATTAAAACGTGTCATATTCACATGCAACAATTTGTGTTGTGATTTTATCAGTTGTAATAAAATAATAATTTTGCTATGTTATTAGTCGTTACTAGACAAAAGTTGCCTATATGAAGAGGGCTTTAATACTGTTGAGTGTAAAGGCTTGGAAGGAAAAATGCAGGGAAATAAAAGTGACCATTTTGTTATCAACAAACTTTATTAAGAAGGAAAAACAATAAAAAAATTTAACTCTATATAGAAATATTTTAAAATAAAATTTAATATTTTAAATTTATTAATTTACCATTTGTTAACCTTTGTAATGTTGGTATGAAGTAATTTCAAAAGTAAAGGCAGAAAGATGTTAAATTAAATTATTTATAGACTGTCTAGTATACACAGCTTTTGAACAACTATATGGTTTAAAATTCTTCAAATAATTAGTATTATTTACTTATTTTGTTATTGAAAATTAAAACCGTAAGATAACAAAACCATAACATTAAAATAAGTCGATTTTCCTATCTCGATTTCCCTTTTCTTGTATTTTAACAAATACAGTGTGGTAAACCCTGTGAGCAACACCTGGTTCTAAGAAAAATTGTTTATACATTCATTTCTGGATGTGTGTTATTGTACAATAGGAATACTGACCACTGAGGAAGGCCCCAAGTGGCCGAAACACATATAGTCTATATAGTCTAGCTAGTTTGGTGTAGTAGTTAAGTGCGTGGACTCTAATCTGGGAGAACCAGGTTTGATTCCCCACTCCTCCACTTGCATCTGGCTGAATGACCTTGGGCAAGCCATAGTTCTGGCACAGCTGTTCTTGAAAAAGAGCAGTTTCTGTCAGAGCTCTCTCAGCCTCACCTACCTCACAGGGTGTCTGTTGTGGGGAAGGGAAGGGAAAGGAGTTTGTAAGCTGCTCTGAGACTCCTTTGGGTAGTGAAGGGCAGGGTATAAATCCAATCTCTTCTCTTCTCTATTGGTCAAAAGTTTTACCCATCAATTGGACTTGTATAAGTAGCAGTTCTGAATGTTATAAGCTTTAAGAGTCTGCTATTTGGACTATTTCTTCTAACCTTATGTATGTTTTATTTATTTGCACTATTTATTTGACTGAATGAGTTAGTGTATGTAATGAGATAAGAAACCAATATCTCTGTTGAGTCCTGGGGAGGTTTTTCCCCCCCAAGTGTTGTAATAACTTGTAATTCAGCAGTTTCCCTTTTCATTCTGTTCCTGAAGTTCCTCAGTAATAAAACAGCTACTCTGAGGTCATTCATTGAAGTGGAGGGAAGTAAGCAATGGGGTCCTACGAGGAATGGTATTGGGACCAATACGATTTAAATTGTTTGTAAATGATCTGGAACTAGATGTGAGTAATGTAGTGGCCAAGTTAGCAGACGATGCCAAGTTATTCAGGAAGGTGAAAACCAAGGCTGACTGTGAAGATCTCCAAGAGGATCTCTACAAACTGGGTGACTGGGTGACAATGTGGCAAATGAAGTTCAGTATTGGTAAGTATAGGGTGATGCACACTGGGACAGAAAAATCCCAACTTCACGTGTAGGCTAATGGGGTCTGAACTTGCTGTTACTGAGAGGGAAAACAATCTTTGGATCATAGTGGATAGCTCAATGAAAGTGTCAATGCAGTGTGCTACAGCAGTGAAAAAGGCAAACTCTGTGTCAGGGATTATTAGGAAAGGGATTGATAATCAAACAGCCGGCATTGTAATGTCCCAGTATAGATCTACGTTGCTGCTTCCTTTGGAATACTCTGAAGAAAATATTTATAAGATGTTTTATAGATGGTATATAACACCCAAAAAGCTAGCTAAATTTGATCCAAAATGCTCTGATAAATGTTGGAAATGCTAGAATAAAACAGGATCATTTTACCATATGTGGCGGTTATGCGACAGAGCTACGAAATATTGGGCAGGGATACATGAAACTATACAAAAGGTTTTGAAATACAATGTACCTTTTACTCCTGAAATATTTATGTTGAACATTTTATCCAATAATTTTAAAAGCAATGACTTTTATTTGCTAATGTCTATAACCACATGCCAACCTAGCAGTTCGAAAGCAAGAAATTGCAAGTAGATAAATAGGTACCACTTCGGTGGGAAGGTAACAGCGTTCCGTGCACCTTGGTGTTTAGACATGCCGGCCACATGACCACGGAAACGTCTTCGGACAGCGCTGGCTCTTCGGGTTTGAAGTGGAGATGAGCACCGCAACCCTAGAGTCGGACTCGACTGGCTTTCGAGCAAGGGAACCTTTACCTTTTTAAATAGGTACCACTTCGGTGGGAAGGTAACCTTTACCTTTATAACCACCTCAGCTAGAATATTGTATGCCAAATACTGGAGGAGCCAAGAAATACCAAGTAAAGACGAATTCATTAACAAAATATTAGAAGCAGCAGAGATGGACAAACTAACCTTAACTCTGAAGGATCATACTGAAGAGTCATTTGAAAACACATGGCGGAGATTTTATAAATGGTATGAGAACTATATCCATACTAAGAAAGGACAAGGTATATAAACAAGGAGAAGAGAAGAAATAGAAGGGCGGGGTATAAATCCAACCTCCTCCTCTTCTTCTCTTCTTCTTCTACAGAGGGTCAGAGCACCTGCCCTATGAGGAAAGGCTGAGGAGTCTGGGACTCCTCAGTTTAGAAAAGACTAAGGGGGGGACAGAAAAGAGCAACTCGAATGATAAAAGGGTTGGAACACTTTCCCTATGAGGAAAGGTTAAGGCGCTTAGGGCTCTTTAGCTTGGAGAAACGACGACTGAGGGGTGACATGATTGAGGTTTATAAGATTATGCATGGGATAGAGCAGGTAGAGAAAGAGGTACTTTTCTCCCTTTCTCACAATACAAGAACTCGCAGGCACTCAATGAAATTGCTGAGCGGTCGGGTTAGAACGGATAAAAGGAAGTACTTCTTCACCCAAAGAGTGATTAACACTTGGAATTCACTGCCACAGGAAGGGGGGGCAGCTACAAGCATGGACGGCTTCAAAAGGGAATTAGATAAGCATAAGGAGCAGAGGTCCATCAGTGGCTATTAGCCACAAGGTATAGATAGGGACTCTGGGGCAAGTGATGCTCTGTCATCTTGGGGCTTGGGGAGGGGGGTTAACAGTGGGAGGGCTTCTAATGTCCTGGCCCCACTGGTGGACCTCCTGATGGCCCCTGGTATTTCTGGCCACTGTGGGATACAGAGTGTTGGACTGGATGGGCCTTTGGCCTGATCCAACATCGGCGTCTCTTATGTTCTTATGTTCTTATGATAGAGCTTTATAAAATTATGCATGGAGTGGAGAGAGTTGGCCAAGGAAACTTTTTCTCCCTCTCCCCAAATATTAGCGCTTGAAAGCATCCAGTGAAGCTGATGGGCGGTAGATTCAAGATGGACAAAAGAAAATACTTCTTTACGTAGCGAATTATTAGAATGTGGAATTCTCTGAAAGAGGATGGAGTGATGGCCACAGGAACAGACAGCTTTAAAAGGGGATTTGATGGATTCATGGAGGATAGTGTCAGACTCCCACACACTTTGCAAGAAAGGTTTTACTTTATTTGAAGCTATAGGTGCATAAACAGGATCACTGTTCAGAATGAGGGGTAAGCATTGAGCACAATGGATTATAGTGCATTCAAAAATCAGAGACCCAATTGCGGGACTTCCCACGCGCACCTTTGGGCCTGGGAAGCAAGGCTTCTAGATAACCGTAACATCTTTGCTTCTCATGGAGTGTACCATGAGATCACCCAAGCAACTATTTGGCAGCAACCACCTGTGGCCTTGAGAGATACGGACGTTCCTGCAACTAGGCAATTAAGCGCATCAACAGGCATACATGGGAAAGTGAAAGCAGACAAGCGTATACATAGTAGAGAGGGGGAAAAAAACTTTTGGCAGCTTGCTGACAGATAGGTCAATCAGTGGCTATGACCCATGGTGACTGGAGGGAACCTCCGTGTTCAGAGGCAATAAATCTTTGAATCCAAGTGCCAGGAGGCAACATTAGAGGAGGGTCTCAATCTCTATGCTCTGTTGTTGGCCTTCCGGAGGAAAAAGTTGGTCACTGTGTGGGACAGGATGCTGGACTAGGTGGGTCATTGCTCTGATCCAGCAGAGTTCTTCTTATGTTCTTATGAAGGCCTCGGCCTCTATGCCCTGTTGTTGGCCCTCCAGAGGAACTGGTTGGCCATTGTGTGAGACAGGATGCTGGACTAGATGGACCACTGGTCTGATCCAGCAGGGCTCTTCTGATGTTCTTATGAAGGCCTTGGCCTCAATGCCCTGCTGTTGGGCCTCCAGAGGAACTAGCTGTCCACTGTGTGAGACAGGATGCTGGACTAGATGGACCACTGGTCTGATCCAGCAGGGCTCTTCTGATGTTCTTATGAAGGCCTTGGCCTCTATCCCCTGCTGTTGGGCCTCCAGAAAAACTAGCTGGCCACTGTGTGAGACAGGATGCTGGACTAGGTGGACCACTGCTCAGATCCAGCAGAGTTCTTCTTATGTTCTTATGCAACAAATGACGGAGAAATTGACAGTAACAGATGAGCCACTCCACTTGGTATAGTTTATTATGCTCTGCAGTGGGGAATAGCACAGAGCTTATAAGCTTGGGGAGCCAGAGATACCCTAACTATAGGTTCTTTGCTGAGCTCTTTGACTCCTTCTGGTAGTTGGAAGGTGAATGCTTTCAGCAGTGTGGTGAAGAACATGAAGAGCTCGATCCTGGCCAGCTGCTTTCCCAGGCAGACACGGGCCCCTGCAAAGGAAACAAGGGAAGGCCACAAGTGAGTAATACGTTCCCATTTATTATGTAGACTGGATCATCTAGGTCAGGGGTGTCAAACATGCGGCCTCGGGAGCCGGATCAGGCCCGCAGTGGAACTGGCTGTCTTCTGCTTCTTCTTCCAGTTCTGCTGCTGCTGTGTCATTGCAGGTTTGCAATGTACGAATACACACCTGAACAGCATACTCAAGATTGCCACAGCACAGACATTTTGATGTAACAATTCAAAGCAAGGGGTGTCCGTTATCAGACACTCTTAAATGCAAAAAATACTGCAAGAGTGCTAATATTTTAAGCATGTTTTTCTTTTAAGTTAAAAAAAACCCCTCTGTGTGTCTTTAATAAAGTTTATATCTCCGCTATCTGGCATTACATTTTATGACACACATGGCCCAGCCCAACAAGGTCTCATTTATGTCAGATCCGGCCCCCATGAGTTCGACCCCTGATCTAGGTGAATTCTAGATTGGACTTTCTTAAAGTAGTATCTCATTTTAAAAGACTGCATTTAACAGGCTGGGGAAAGCCCCTTCCTGAGACTGCAGAGTGGCCGGCAAAAAGAGTGAACAGTCCTAGGCCCCTGGCTCAATTCCGTATCAAATTTAATAAAATAGTTGGAGACCTGTGATCAACTCTTCCTAGAATTTTAAAAAGATAAATTGGGGCCAACGAGAGAGAAAGAGGACTTTAATAAGTGTAATACGGATAACAATATCAATACTAACAACGTCAATAATAATAATACTAATAACAATCGCAAGAACAAATTCAGAGTCCAGTGGCACCTTTAAGACTAACAAAGGTTTATTCAAGGTACGAGCTTTCATGTGCACGCACACTTTCTCAAATACATTGGAATGGCAGGTCAGGTTCAAACTTATAGCCGGAGAATGAACAGCAAATTAACATGTAACACGATGGTGTTCAAGATATGCAAAATGAAAAACTAAATAACAATTTAGTTTTGTTCAACTAAATAACAAGGTAAGGTTATAAGGTCAACAAGCAATAAATATGTCAAAATAGCAGATTAGGGCTGCCAGGTCCTCTGGGAGGGCGGAGGTTCCCCTGCTAAAAGGGTCCCAAATCCGCTGGTCCGGTAAAGGCCGGCGGGGGGAACCCTGCCCCTAAAGTGCCCGGTTCAGCCGACATGCCCAGCGCAATGATGTCACCTGGAGGTGACATCATCGTGTCGGGCACGTCACCGGCTGATGCTCTGGCAATCAACCTGAAAACTCTATGGTACCATAGAGTTTCCAGGCTGATTGCCAGAGCGTCAGCCGGCGACATGCCCAACCAACTCTCCCCCGCTATTAGTGGTAAGTGACTTGGCAACCCTATAGCAGATAAATGTCCAAAGGTGTCTTTTCTAATGGTGGGAAGTAACTGAGAATCTTAATTCTCTCCTCTCAGGCGTGGATGACACTTAGCAAGAACAATGTGTGTGAGGAGGGGGTGGGGCGGGGGTGTCTGTGCTTTGTGAACACAAGTGAAGCTCTGTGGGAAATGACTGAAAGGATTAAGCTGCCTTTCTCCTTGCTAAGTGGGCCCAGTCTGAAATTATGCCAGACGTGATTGCAGCTTCCCTTTAAAAAGTGCTGGGAAGGTCTGATCACAGATCTGCTAGAATGCTGGCGACCAGTTGAGGAGCTGTATGATCTCATGGAAAACAGAACATTTTTTTATTTGTATCCCCATGTTGATAGTGGCATAGTCACTACCATTCATTTTTCGCCACAAGGAATATTTGAGACTTCACGCTTTGTATAATATCTCACCATCATTCTCCAAAGCCCAGACTTACAGTATGAACTGTTCTCTGCTGGAGATAGGTTTTGCTTCAAGCTTTGGGAGGGACATCACAAGTGAGCTATACCCAGTAGGGAACTCATCATGGAACACAAAATCAGGCTAATGGACCGTCTTATGGTATATAGCTTAAGAAAATGGCTTACTCCAAGGGAGTCAAACTCATTTGTTTTGAGGGCCAGATCTGACATAAATGAGACCTTGTTGGGCCGAGCCATGTGTGTCATAAAATGTAATGCCAGGTAGCGGAGATATAAACTTTATAAAGGACACAAAAACAAAGGGTTTTTTAATCTTAAAATAAAAACATACCTAAAACATTAGCACTCTTGCAATATTTTGTGTATTTAAAAGTGTCTGATAACGGACACCTCTTGCTCTGAATTATTGCATCAAAATGTCTGTGTTGTTGCAGTCTTGAGTGTGCTGTTCAGGTGTGTTATCTGTAAGCTGCAAACCTACGATGATGAAGCAGCAGCAGAACTGGAAGCAGCAGCAGAAGACAGCCAGTTCTACTGCGGGCCAGATAGAGGCCCTCTGGGGGCCTGATCCGGCCCCTGGGCCACATGTTTGACACCCCTTGCTTACTCAGTAGAATTGAAATGCTATGTAGTGGACTTTTCCTTTCCCACTGAAAGTGACCACTGCCCCCAGGCACACCTCACCAGCCCCACCTTCTACCACGCATAGTGATGGGTCATGGAAATCGCAATGGGGAAAACTGCGTTGGGTTCCCCCAGACCAGGCAGCTACGTTCTAACAACTTCTGAGCTCATATTTTTTGAGACGTCTTCCCAGATGATGTTTTATTAACCCTCAGCCCTCTTTGCAGCTGGGCAGTACTTCCGTGGAGGAACAAGGGGTCTGGTTTCACAGCTGTGTTCTGTTGGGAAAGGCAGTATAGAATCCAGCCAACAGACAAAGGAGGGAGGCCTGGGGCTTTGCTGCTTCTCAACAGCATAGCCTTTGCATGTGCTTTTAAAGGGATTCACGTCCCTATATTCACCAGAGCTGTAACATTTGCAATGCTATACTGCCATGGTAGGAGGTTAAATGGGAGGCATCATTGCTTAGGGTTTCCAGGTTCCCTCGCCATCATGGCAGAGGGATTGGGGGGGCATTCCAGGGGTGTGCGGGATGTGGCACGCGACGCGCCTGACACAATGACGTCAGCTGGAAGTGACATCATCGCATCACATGATTATCTGGCTTTGGGGCCAAATTCTATGAGTTCTTTCGCGTTCAGAACCATAGAGTTTGCCCCCAAACCAGAGCATCGCCATGCAATGTCCCCGGCATGACGACATCACCCGGAAGTGACGGCATCACATTGGGGACTTCGTGGGATGACATCCCTTTGGGGTGGAAGAGATTTCCCCTGCTGGCCAGCTGACTGGTAGTGGATCAAAGCCCTCCAAACTGGGGAGACCCCTGCTGGGACCTGGCCCTGTAGTGGACACTGTAGGTACTACAGTGGGTACTATAGGTAGGGTTCCCGACTCTAGGTTGGGAAATTTCTGAAGATTTGAGGGTATAACCTTAGGCAGAAGGGGACCTCAGTGGGGTACAATGCCATATAGTATATCCTCCAAAGCACCCATTTTCTCCAGGGGGACTGATATCCATATTCTGGAGATCAGTTGCAATTCCAGGAGATCCCCAGCCACCACCTGGCGGTTGGCAGCCCTAACCACAGGGCCAATGTTCTTGCTCATTATAAGAGAAGAGGAGGAGGAGGAGGAGATTGGATTTATACCCCGCCCTTCACTCGGAGTCTCAGAGCGGCTTACAAACTCCTTTCCCTTCCCCTCCCCACAACAGACACCCTGGGAGGTGGGTGGGGCTGAGAGAACTCTGAGAGAAGAGATTGGATTTAACCCCCCCCCTCACTATGTATGGCTGAGAGAGTTGGACTATAAGGAAGGCCGAGCGCTGAAGAATAGATTCTTTTGAACTATGGTGCTGGAGAAGACTCTTGAGAGTCCCTTGGACTGCAAGAAGAACAAATCAGTCAATCCTAAAAGAAATCAACCCTGACTGTTCCCTGGAAGGCCAGATAATGAAACTGAAGCTCAAATACTTTGACCACCCAATGAGAAGGGAGCACTCACTGGAGAAGAAGACCCTGATGCTGAGAAAGATTGAAGGTCAAAGAAGAAGGGGACGTCAAAAGATGAGATGGTTAGAATATTGGGCGGGGGGGAGAAGTTCCTCATTATATCCAAGCCATGTCTAATAGAATTTACCTTTCAGTTGTTTCCTCCAGAAAAATCATACTGCATATTGGACATAGATTTTCGGTAATGGAAGTTATTTCTAAGAACATTATGTAGAAAGAGCAAATATTCCTGAATCTAGTCCTTCCGAGAAGCCTAGGGAAAGTTATCGGCCACAAAATTAGTTCAGCATCTTGCATTTACCTGCACCAAATGGAAGGAATGCTTCCCTTTCCACAAAATTCCCATCCTTATCCAAAAAATGATCTGGGTTGAACTCCTGGGGTGTCGCCCATTGCTTAGGATCATTAAGAACAGAGCGGAGATCTGGAAAAATCATGGTGTCCTGAAAGGATGAAACCGTTGGTTCAGGAGGCATACGATATGTTGGTTAAAAAAAATAGTCCAAAATACTTAATTACTCAGAGTTTACAATGGATTTTTGCTTCACTGGAGAGGAGACATTTCTTTCTGTTTAAAAGGCTTTATTTCTAAGGGTAAAAGGTACACAGGAAACCTACAAACTAACAAACATGTCTAGAGTTACATTTTCACATCCTACTTCTAGAAAGCATGGTCACACAACAATGAAGACTCTCCTTCTTTACCCCTAGAAGGAAGTAATCTGAAACCAGTAACCAATGGTTTAGTAAACAGACTAAGGTTTTCCCGGGCTTTCTTCCCATTGGTTCTGAGCCAAGTTTCCCTTCCAGGTCAGTCTAAACAATGGCATAGAAAGGTAAACAAGTTAACCCTATAATAGCTGGAATCTGAGACCTTGCAACCCATACATCTCCAACACAAACAAGGATGTTTGCTGTTCCCTAGGGTTACCAGGCAGTGGAAGGGACAATGCTGACATCATCACAGTGATGAAATTACTGTTTGATTAATATAGGCCCCGGTCACACGGGCAGGAAACTGCGGGGGGGGGGGAAGTGTGGCTGTTTGCCCTGGGGCAAACTAACACGCAGTAAAGCGATCATACCTCCTGTGGAGGTTCTGTGGAGGTACCGTGGAGCTTCTGTGGTTACGGAGAGGCGTCGATCACAACACATGCCTGCGCGCAACGAAGAAGCACGCGGCGAACTAGTTTTCTTTTTTTGTGTTCACTACGAATGCGCATGCTCCGTTGGGTGCATGTGCGCAACCACGGGGACTTGGGGAAAAAAAACCTTTTTCACAAGGGGACATGGGCGGGCGCCAGATGCCACCGGAAACGCGATCAGATGCCCGCCCTTGCCCCGCAGTTTCCGGAAACTAGTACCTCCGAGGTACTAGTTTTTTGCTGCGCGGTTTCGGGAGGAAGCCTTGCTTGTGCCACAGAAGCGCTACGCTCCCCAGATGTGCTGGTGAGATCGCACCCGGAAACTCCGCCTGTCTTCCGTATCTCTTGCGTGGCTAATGTTGCGTGTGACCGCAGCCATAGTAGGGTTTTGCCCAGTCATAGAAGTACTGAAAAATGTTAGGGAAATGGCTGAGAAGCTAAATGCATTTTTTGCCTCTGTCTTCACTGTGGAAGACGAGAAGTGCTTGCCCACTCCAGAACCGCTGATTTCAGGAGGGGTGTTGAAAGACCTGAGTCAGATTGAGGTGACGAGAGAGGAGGTCCTAAAGCTGATAGGCAACTTAAAAACTGATAAATCACCAGGCCCAGAATGGCATACATCCGAGAGTTTCAGACCCAGACCAAATGGCCCTCATGGAACCCTCAGATTGGCCCTGACTGATTTCCCACATATACATGCTTCACTCTCCTGGACCTCAGGAATCATATCTTCGTTCATTAATGAAAGCTGGATTTGTAAGCATGAACTTATCAACTTGCCCTGATTAAAAAAAAAAGATCTTTGCAAAATGAAAATGAGATATGCATTCGGGGAAATAGAACTGAAAATAAACTACAGCAGTTCTATGGACTCCTGGATAACTAGTTGGCCACAGTAAGAGAAAAACAGATCATGCCCTGTTTTACTTCCAGGTTTCCTTCTTGAATCTGATAGATGACTTCAGCTCAGTTGGAAAACCAGAAGGTCTCCGTGTGAGGACAGCTTTGTAAAGTTCTCTGGACTAACTTCATTATTACAACTTCTATGCTGCAAATCTTTTAAAAAGAAACATATGCTAAACACATGAAGGGAGAAGAAGAAGAGATCGGATTTATACCCTGCCCTTCACTACCCAAAGGAGTCTCAGAGTGGCTTACAGACTCCTTTCCCTTCCCCTCCCCACATCAGACACCCTGGGAGGTAGGTGGGGCTGAGAGAGCTCTGACAGAAACTGCTCTTTTTCAAGAACAGCTGCGCCAGAACTATGGCTTGCCCAAGATTATCCAGCAGCGGCAAATGGAGGAGTGGGGAATCAAACCCAGTGCTCCCAGAGTAGAGTCCACGCACTTAACCACTGCACCAAACTGGTTCTTTGGGTACTGATGGTTATCTGACTGCTGGATAGTTTTTTGAACAAAATGGGGAATCACTACCACATATAGATCAGCAGAGATGTGGCATCTAAAATGGCGGTTGACACAACACGCTTCAAACAGCCCATGGCCGTTCCGGCCGTTGGGCTGGTGAGGCGCCTTTGTTTCCCAGCCGGAAGAGCCAGACAGCAATTTGGCGCCAAAAGCACCGCATTCGGGACTTGGGAGGGGGCAGGGCAGCGAAGGCTTAAAGCCTGGCTCCACCTCTCCTTCTCAGCAGTCCCGCGCGTTTCGTCGGCCCACCCTCCCACCCTGTTAGTAGTGCAGGTGTTTGCTGGTCGCCCAATTTTCGGGGCTGGGTAGGAATTTTTTCACCCCTTCCTGATTGGCACTTGGAAGGGGTGTTTTTCGCCTATCCTGCATTGCGGCAGTAATGCAGGTATTTATGGGGGTGAGTCGTGTTAGTTAGGTCAGTCACTTTGATTTAGGCAGGTTGCTATGCGGTATACAGATTGCGGTCCGGTGAGCACCAGCTGACACCCATATTTGGGGTTGAAGGGGTCCTGTGAGTACAGCCTTTGTGCCTTGCGGCATGGGGTGGGGAAAACGGACTGCCTTCGGGATGGCTCTGTTTAGGTCCTCTCTTTGAGCCTTGCGGCTTGGGGGATGGGGCTACAGGGTTGTCTTGCAATGGCTAGCCGGCCGGGGGGGAGCCCCTGCAGTGGGCTCCCACCTGGGGCAGGGTGGCTCGCCCTATTGAAGAGGCAAGGGAGGGTCCTCGACCTCTGGCCTTGACCATACCGCATGCTGTGTTGCCCTTGCTGTTGGTTCCAGCTAAAGTTGTCCGTTAATAAAGTGGCCCTATAATTAAACCCAACACTTGTGTCTGCCTCGTTATTTCTGGCTTGGGGGGCAATAATCCCTGATTACTCAATATCATTTCTGGAAAAGAAGTCAGGTTGATACTAGCCTTCAAAAACTGCTACACAGGAAGCTCCTATACATATACATCTAAAGTGCTACCTCTTATAGAGACTGCTCTTAAAATCCAGAAGTGCAAACATAAGGATTTCCTGTACCTTTGGAATGGAAAAACCAAATATTTTAATATCCTTTGTACATAGTCTGGGGATGCCAAATGTTAAGACATATTGGGAACGCTGGATCTCATGAATTACAGCATTAGTGTAGGGCAATTTCTTCCGATCTTGGTAACTGAATGATTGAGAGGAACCCAAAACCTCTTCGATCTCCTTGTGGACTTTCTCTAAGGAAAACAGTAAGAGGAATTAACCTTTGCTGTGGACACTGCATTTTCCTCTACCAAGTTCATAAATCAGCGGAACTATTCCATATATCTTATATTCAAGAAACAGGAATATATACAGAGTTGTAGGCTTGGGTCAGCATCCCAAAACATTAAGGGTGTGATCAGACGGACCATTTGACCCAATTTCATTGCTTCTCTCTTACGGATTAAAAATGATCGTTCAGGCAGTGACATCCGTCTCCTGTCGGTGGCCTGTTACCCACAGCTGAGTTTCCTGATACTGGAAAAAAGCAGACCTTTATGGATTGAACTGGTCTCACTCTGCAATTCCTGTTGTCTGAACCTCAAGCCGTTTGGGAAGCTAGAGAGCTCACTTGCGTTGGTGCCATTTTGAAAATCCATTTAGCGGTGTGTGCTTAAGTGGATTTTTGCCCCATGGTACATTGCACGTTTGTAACCTATACGTATTTAATACAAAGATACACATGGTCCTGTTTGGATGAAGACTACGAAACGACTTTGTAATCTAGAAAACTTTGTTAACCCTATTGTTCTGGACCTCTCTTGCACATGTTGTATGATTTTGGATTCTTATTATAATACACAGGGGTCATTTCCTGCAGGAGCGCACAGGATCGGAGCTCCGGCAGTAAAGAGCCCATGGGGCGGGCACATGCAAGAAGCCCAAACCCCAGCTCCCAGCAGCCCTCAGTCAGAGCAAGAAGCAGCCAGGTAAGTTGCAGAGCCCCCCCGGGCCCCCGGTCTAAAACAGTGGCACCTTTAAGACCAAGTTTTATTCAGGTATGAGCTCTCCCTCCTCTGCGAGGACAGATCTGCACATCCCCCCCCCCAATAGCTAGAAATCCAGAATAGTCCAGTGGAGTCTGAGCGGTGGGTGTTGCCTTCTGACACACTTCCGGTGATGTCAGGGGGTGTGGCATATGCAAATAAGTTATGCTAATGAGGTCCTGCACCTCTTTTTCTATGAAATGACCCCTGATAATACATTTCAATATATTTTGCAACTATTGGCTTTGGCAGTGTTATTGAGTGGATACACACACAGCTTTTATCGCCCTCCTTTGGTACTGCTTCTGGAGCTGTGGTTCTCTGTGTATTATTTCTCTTTTTAAAACCATTTAAAACCTTCCAAAGAAAGCCGCCTATGTGTTCAAGCTGTTTTCTGCCTACAGTTTTGTAGCACACATCATTGGGAAAGGGGCTAATTGAGAAGTTGAGGGGGGTTTTCTGAGAGGGAGGGGGAGGGAGGCGGTTTGAGAACGATGCCATGACTCCAGCTTTGCTCCAAGCTTTTAAATAAAAATGTCAGCACACAGGACACAGGATGAGGCTTCTCTATTTTTCCCCCTGGCTTTGAAACTTTTGACATTTATTTTTTTTAAAGCACAGTTTAAAAAAGACTGCCTTCACAGCCGTGCTACAAATCCCAGCAGCCTCTTCCTGCAAGCCCATTGGCCAGCAACTGCAAGGAGTTTGAAGTGATACTTTCCAGAAGAAGAAGAGGAGGAGGAGGAGACTGGATTTATACCCCACCTTTCACTACCTGGAGGAGGAGGAGGAGATTGGATTTGTACTCCATGCTTCACTAACCGAAGGTGGCTTACAATCTCCCTTCCTGTCCCCACAACAGACACCCTCGGAGGTAGGTGGGGCTGAGAGAGCTCTGAGAGAACTGTGACTGACCCAAAGTCACACCAGCAGCTGCATGTGGAGGAGTGGGGAATCAAACCCGGTTCTCCCAGATTAGAGTTCGCACTCTTAACCACTAAATCAAACTGGCTCTTATGCACATGCTTAAAGTACAAATAATAAAGAAAAGCTCCCACTCTGTGGCTGCTGTCTGATGGATCCTCCAGGAGGTGAGTGTGAGGTTAGAAATGGGATGTCTGATCAAATTTCTCCATTACAAAAAAACTGAGAAATTACAGGCGGGGCCAGACCATTCTAATCCTGCCGTGTGACCACAGCATAAGAGAGACTTATTTGGGCCATGCAATAGCATATATTCGCTCCAGTGTTCCTTCTAAGCTGAGTTAGTGTGAACTAGCTCGCAGTTTTTTAGTCTCCGGCTCACACATTTTTGTCTCAGCTCAGGAAGGACGGCTCCAGAGCAAGCTAATTTATGCAGTAGCCAAATCGCTCGCTCACAGCTTTAATGCCAGTAGCTCACAAAGTAGAATTTTTGCTCACAGGACTCCACAGCTTAGAGGGAACATTGATTAGCTCCCGCTCAAGGTTGTAAACAGCTTGAATTCAGAACGTGTCTAATTAAGGGTTGATAAGGAGAGCCAGTTTGGTGTAGTGGTTAAGTGCGCAGACTCTAATCTGGGAGAACCGGGTTTGATTCCCCCACTCCTCCACTCGCACCTGGCCCTTACATTATATACATTCGAGTTGGAGGCTGCACAAAGAAATGCTGGGGAAGGGTAGGCTATTAGGTAATACTCCCCTTACTGAGCAGTAGAGCAATACAGATACATACAGAAAAAAAGCTGAGAGTGGAGGAACCCAGAGCAGAGGAAAGGGGTTCTCATGTCTTGTGTATGGGACCCATGGAGAAACGGATTGTCCAGATTGCTCCTGTTTCCAGACCATACGTTTAACCCCTTCTCCTAGAGACGCTGAGAAGAAAATTAGAGCTCTAAAGGTCAGGTCTTGTATGGGTGGGGGCATACAAATAAATGCCAAAGCATGCAATCTCAGAGCTGCATTCCCTCTGTTACAAGCTTGAACATGTCAGGCTGCACCTGGAGTCTTGTGGGCAGTTCTGGAATCCTCACTTCAAAAAGAATGTGGACAGAATGGAGTGTATGCAAAGGAGAGTGACGAGGATGATCGGGGACACCTAGACCAAGCCCTATGAGGAAAGGCTAAAGGACTTGGGAAGGTTCAGTTTGGAGAAAAGGTGGTTGAGGGGGGACATGATTGATCCCTTTAAGTATCTGAAGGGCTATCACTTACAGGAGGGCAGGGAGCTGTTCCTGTTGGCAGCAGAGGAGAAGACTCGTAATCATGGGTTTAAATTAAGGGTGGGAAGGTACTGGTTGGATATTAGGAAACACATTTTTACAGTCAGAATTGTGCAACAATGGAATCAGCTGCCTAGGGAGGTGGTGAGCTTCCCCCTCACTGACAGTCTTTAAGTAGTGGCTGGACCAACACTTGTCAGGGATACTCTAGGCTGATCCTGAATTGAAGAGGAAGAAGAGATTGGATTTATACCCCACCCTTCACTACCCAAAGGAGTCTCAGAGCAGCTTACAAACTCCTTTCCCTTCCCCTCCCCACAACAGACACCCTGGGAGGTAGGTGGGGCTGAGAGAGCTCTGACAGAAACTGCTCTTTTTCAAGAACACCTCTGACAGAAGTATGGCTTGCCCAAGGTCATCTAGCAGGTGCAAGTGAAGGAGTGGGGAATCAAACCTGGTTCTCCCAGATTAGAGTCTGTGCACTTAACTACTACACCAAACTGAGCCGGGGGTTGGACTAGATGGCCAATATGGCCCCTTCCAACTCTGTGATTCTATGATTCTGTGTTTCAAATAAACATAAGAATATAAGAGAAGCCAATGTTGGATCAGGCCAGTGGCCCATCCAGCCCAACTGTCACACAGTGGCCAAAAATAACAGGTCCAGCAGTGGGGCCAGGACACTAGAAGCCCTCCCACTGCTGCCCCCCCAGGCACCAAGAATACAGTGCATCACTTGCCCCAGCCTGAGAGTCCCTATCTATACCTTGTGGCTAATAGCCACTGATGGACCTCTGCTCCATATGCTTATCTAATTCCCGCTTAAAGCCGTCCATGCTTGTATCCGCCACCACCTCCTGTGGCAGTGAATTCCATTTGTTAATCACTCTTTGGGTGAAGAAGGACTTCCTTTTATCTGTTCTAACCTGACTGCTCAGCCATCCCATTGAGTGCCCATGAGTTCTTGTATTGCAAAAGTGCAGTATTCTAGATTTTAAAAAAACATTGACCTTTAAAAAAAAGAAATTATTTTAGATTCTAGGAGAGTCTCAGGGACCTGAGCAATCACTGGGCTCCCTGACTCTGATGGGACCTAATGCCCACACCCAGTTGTCCATGTACCAAAGCAGCAACATATGCAAAGTCTTTAAGGTGTAGCCTGCTGTTCGTTGCTTGACAAAGACTGGCCCTTGAGCAGCCCACTGCCTGGTGACCAGCTGGGATGCATCCTTGAGCTGGGGTGGGGAAAAGGAGTCGATGTGTCATAACTGGGATATGGGGGTGGTGGCAGCTTACCAAAAGAATTGCTCAGGTCCCATGGGAGTTCTAGAGGGGCTAGAGCCTCCAAAGGGATTGGCTCCAGGAAGATCCAGGCCCTTAATAAGGCAAAGGAAAATAGGTCAAGGAGGACACACTGGCGCTGGCTCCTGATATCGAAAGCAACAGGGTCAGGAGAGAGGTGGAGAACAAGGGTAAATGGAATCTCCTTCCCACTCAGTCCAGTGCCCATGGAAAGGTGCCTAGTGCCACCTGCTGGCAAGAGTTTGCCAGATCTGAGCTGGTCTTCCACAGGGTAGAAGTGATTCAAAGGTTCTCTGTATCACAATGGTTTAAGAGGCTAGCTTTCTCTTGAAACAATGCAGAAGTCTCTATTACCTTGGATGTCTGGATGATTTGCCATGAGGAGCAGCGCCCATCGCAATGACAAGGACATTGTTTCTGTTCCTGCTATGAAGAAGTCCACAATACACTGAGACAGATTGCTTTCATTGTAAGTAGAGTTGGGGTCATTCTTGCTCTGCGTTGAGGGTAAAAATTGAGAAAGCATTTTCAATGATTTCTGTTGTGTCCGCTGACCACCACCAGAGGCCAGCTAATACCCCAGAGCTTGACTCTGGAAGAACAATGGGGACAAGGCTCCTGGTCTCCCCACAGGGGAGCCAATGGGACATTGGCGGTAGATTCAAACCCACCAACGGGAACTAGGGGGTGTCCCCATATGTGTATATAGTTGGCCCACGGGCCGTGACCCTTTGTCTTTGTTGTGTAGCAGTGAAGCGTGCAAGATGTTATGCGAGTCGCAGCGGCCTTGCCACGCGGGTAACCCACTACACAATAGTGGCGACGAGGATGGGATACGCCGCTAAGCCAACCCGGCCGCCGAACGGCAACTGAAGGCACGCAGCCCCACAGCCGCCTGATGAGCGAGTTGACCAGAGAAATCGATCCCGCTCAGCCGGCCCAAGCGCCGGCCCCAGTACCAGCCACAGCGAGCACGATGGCAACCGTGTCCGGTCCTGGCCTGCTGCCGCCTTTTGACACTGCGCGCCCACAAGACTGGGGTTCCTGGGTACGAGGCGTGAAGTCCGCGCTCGCTTTCTACAAGGTGACGGACAACGCGCAAAAGAGAGGGTTCCTCCTCACCTCCTGCGGAACTGCCGTCATGTCTCTAGCCGAGGGACTACTATCCCCAACGGACCTGGATGCCTGCTCGTTCAACCAGATCGTCAAGGCCGTCCAAGACCACTACGCTCCGAAGCCATCGGAGATGACCTGTCGGTTGGCGTTCTATGACCAGGGCCAACTCTCCCGAGAGACAGCCGCGGATTTCCTCATGGAGCTCCGTCGCCTGGCCACAGATTGCAACTTCGGGGCACACCTCGATGATGCCCTCCATGACCGCTTCGTCGCGGGACTGAGGGAGCCGAAGCTCAAGCGACGGTTTGCGGAGAAGGAGGACGTCACCCTCGCCACGGCCCTGTCCTCCGCCATCGCATGGGAGCGGACACACCCCGCCACGACCGCGGCCCAGCATCTTGACTCTGCAGCCATGGATACAAGGTTCTACAAAATTACTGAGGAAGCACCAGACCACTTGCAACCAATGCTCCCTCTAAGCTGTGGAGTCTTGTGAGCAAAAATTCTACTTTGTGAGCTACTGGCATTAAAGTTGTCAGCGAGTGATTTGGCTGCTGTATCAGTTAGTTTGCTCTGGAGCCATCCTTCCTGAGCAAAGACAAAAATGTGTGAGCCGGAGGCTAAAAAACTGTGAGCTAGCTCACACTAACTCAGCTTAGAGGGAACACTGGTTGCAACCACACCTAATGCCACATTCTATCAGAAACCGACTGAGGCCATGAGGTCAACCCATAGGTCCAGGCAAGTTTTCATTGTCTGAAATAAAGAACAACAACAATGTTAATGAGCAATGCTTAGTTCTTGTGGCCCTTTCTTACATGCCTAGGGTAATGCTGATCATCACTTTGGGGTCAGGAAGCATTTTTTCTCCAGGCCAGTTTGGCTGGAGATCCTGGTGTGTTGTTGTTGTTGTTGTTGTTGTTTTGTCATATTCTGGGCATGGAACAGGGGTCACTGGTTGTGTATGGGGGGAGGTATTTGTGAATTTCCTGCACTTTGGAAGTGCTACCTCTTCAGCTGAATCAGTATCCCTTTCCACCAACACTGCACAACACTAAGGGTGTGCACATTTCCCCCCAGGTTCAGATATATTGGGCCCCAAAATACTGGTATTCCCAATATTCCTGAACTCCAACTATTGGTATGGCATTTGGATTTGGGTGGTTTTTTGGGTCGATTATTCCTGGTGGGGAAAAATTATGGGTGGCTGGGGGAAGTGTTTTTAAAGTTGTAGGCATCAAAATTGCCTTGGAGTTTCTGGTGCCTGTCCTTTAAATAACCCCCAAGTTTCAAGGCAACTGGACCAAGGTATTCAATTTTATCATGGCTCAGGTAGGGTGTCACCTAATGCTGCCACCACTGTGGTTTTCGGATCCCTTGAGAAGGCCCAGAGCACCGTCCCCAGACCTTCAGATCTCCCTTATTTGGCCGAATAATAGGCATGAGGACCAGGCAGAGTAAACAACAAATAAAAGGTTTATTTTTATAGGTCAGTCAAATATGTGAAACAAACAAGGTGCAAGAACAATAGCGATAAGTGGGTGAAGAGAAAAGAAACCAAATGCCCTAACGTGACTAGTCTCACAGTCCCTAGTCCGCTGTCTCAGTTGGGCCTCAGTCTGCTCACCCTTCCTCTCAGGGTGAGGGTCTCTCCTGGCAGCACCCTCCCCTCTGGCCCTGCTCTCTTGGAAGAAAGAACGGCTCTGCTTCTGTACCAGCTCTTTTATTATAAGTCCCCTTTCTCTGTGATTGGCTAAAATTGGTGCCAAATCCTCTAAGGGACCTCTGGGAGTTGTAGGCCTGGCCTCCTCCCACTGCTAGTCAGGCTCCCTGGGCCTGCGAGGCCTTTACTTGCACAGCCCAGATCATGACAGACCTCCACTTTGAACAGGGTGCCCCCAGTCATTCTCCATTATTTCCTATGGAAGTGTGTGTGTGTAGGGGGGAAAACAACTCTGCAAGCTGTTTCCAGGGCAAAAAGCCATGCCTGCAAGTTGCAATCACTGAGAACAAATGGCAAGTCCAACAGAACCATTGCAGGACCCAGTAATTCCAGCAGCAGCACAAGCCAATGTGCCAAGCCAAACAGAAGTAAAATCAAACCAGAGAATCCCTGCACTGGAAACTGAAGGGGGGCATTTTTTGCAAGCCCAGCACAACCAGTGCCTCTGTGGCAGTGCAAACCCAACAGGACTGATGTCAAACCAGAGAATCTCTGCAGTAGAAACTGAAGGGGGGATTTTTTTTGCAAGCCCAGCATAACCAGTTGCAATGTACAGAATGCCCAGCAGAACCAGTTCTACTGTGGCAGTGCAGGCTGAACAGGACTGATGTAAAAGCACAGAATCACAACAAAGTCAAGCAAGGGAAGGATTTTGGAAGCTCTACACATGCACAAAAAAAAATTGAAAGCAAACACAAAGGAATGTAGGAAAAGAAAAAAACCCTCTTAAAACTGACAAGACACATTTGAAATTGACAAAAGAAGCCTGGGAAACCCATAAAAACCCCTCAGACACAGAAACAAAGGGGTAGGGGAGAAAAGGCAAGGAAAAACTTTTCCTCGGAACCTTTAAATGCTGGTTCATGATCTTCCTGAAGATTCCTGAATATTTTGGGGGATTTTTCAGGACCATATTTTTGGTTTTCTGAAAATTCCTTGATATATTTAGGATGCCAATATTTTGGGGCATATTTTTGGCTCAGGGGCATATTTTTGGCTCAGGTTTCCCAAATGCACACCCCTATGCAGCAGTTGCAGGATACAAATTGGTTAACATTTCTGATTAATCTCCCTGGGAAGGGAGTTCCAAAGTTTTGGTGCCATGGCAGAGAAGGCCTGTTCTTGGGTTGCCACCCAGCTAGCTTCAAATGGCAGCGGCAACCACACCAGAGCCTACAAGGATTACTGGAGTGAGCAGGTAGTTTCACAGGGGAGAAGGCCATCCTTAAGGTAGGTTGGGCTGAGGCTGTGCAGGGCTTTAAAGATCAATACCAGCACCTTGAATGGAGTCAGGAAACAAAAGGGAAGAGAGACGAGGGAAGAGATTGAATTTATACCCCACCCTTCACTCGGAGTCTCAGGCTGTGGTCACATGGGCACAGCAATTCCGCTTTGTTCCCGCTTTAATTTAATCGGGAATATTTTTCTTCAGGACGGGCTGATTAGATGCAGCCGGCCCCTCTCTTCCACCACCCACTCGCCTGAAAATCCTTCCCCTCTCTCCGCCGGCCTGCACGCCTGCCCGCTCGCCTGCCAGCCCACCCGGGCAGCCCAGGAGACATCTTGAGGACTCAGCAGCACTTCCTGAATCTCTCACAGCAGGGGGAAAGCCTGGCGAAGACCAACAGCCCCGAGATCCCAGCAGGGTCCACTCCACAGAAGCCCTCCCTCCCCCCGCCGCAGCCACTGCCAAACCCAAGGGTGTACGAAACCGCTGCCTCGTGCTCCCTGCGCCACCACCGCCTCCTCTTCCACCTTCCCTCCCTTCCAAAGCCTGCCGCAGCAGCTGCTGTTGTCGCCCGGAGCGCCTTGCAGAGGACTTTGCTCGTCCACCCGGCTCAGGCAGAAGCCTGGGGGAGGGGGGAATCTCATTGTGGGGGGGAATGGTCAGACGGCCCTAATCGCAACCATTGCGATCGATGGCTGTCCAGATAGGCGATATCGCTCGTTCAAAGCGCGAGTACCAGGAAAACACCTGTTCCAACGGGTGTCAGGAAACGCGGATAAAAAGACCGGAAACCGCGGGACTAAGCCCGCTTCGGTGCGGGAGGCGGGTTTGCCAATATGAACAGGAAACTTTAATGCGCGAGGGATCAGCAGTGAAGCCCGCACTAAATGTCCGTGTGACCTGACCCTCAGAGTGGCTTACAAACTCCTTTCCCTTCCCCTCCCCACAACAGACACCCTGGGAGGGAGGCGGGGCTGAGAGAGCTCTGAGAGAAACTGCTCTTTCAAGAACAGCTCTGACAGAACAATGGTGTACCCAAGGTCATCCAGCAGCTGTGTGTGGAGGAGTGGGGAATCAAACCCGGTTCTCCCAGAGTGGAGTCCACGCACTTAACCACTACACCAAACTGGAAGCCAGTGTAGGTGGAACAAGACTGGAGTCATATGGTCCTGGAGACCCACTCCATTCAGCATTGTGACTGCAGCATTCTTTACCAACTATAGGTTCTAGACAGTCTCCAAGTTTGCGTTTCATTTTTACTGAACATGTCTGATTTTACATACAAAGTAGATACTTACTTTCTCCATCTGAAGCAGGTAAAAATCAGTCAAGTCTTGCGGCTCATGCATGGCCTGATGTTCCTTATGGTTTTCTATCTCCTTCCTTGAAAATGAAAGTATGGCCTCTGCGTAGGCAAGGGCCTTCCTGTGAGGCCCTGGGAGCCATTCCATGAGCCACGGGAAAATTTCACACAGCTACAGGGAAGATGAAAGCAAAATCCTATCAGCACCATAAGACAGCTCAGCCCATAAAAACAACAGTTTGGGAGCTCATATCAGCATCATGGCTTCCATTCCACCAATTAACTTTGCCCTCAGGTGCTACAGAATATTACCCATGGCAGAAGTGGTTGGGGTGGCAAGGGTTTTGCAGCCTCTGATGATTTTCCTCTCCTGACTACAGTCGCCTACAGTGATTTTCTGTAATAGATTATCAGGAGATGGTCACCTGTCTCGTGAATTGCCTTGCACAGTCATCACTAGGTTCTTCTGACTGCATGAAGAGAAGAAGAAGAAGAGATTGGATTTATACGCCGCCCTTCACTACCCAAAGGTGTCTCAGAGCGGCTTACAAACTCCTTTCCCTTCCCCTCCCCACAACAAACACCCTGTGAGGTGGGTGGGGCTGAGAGAGCTCTGATAGAAACTGCTCTTTTTCAAGGACAGCTGTGCCATACTGCTGGATGACATAGGGCAAGCCATAGTTTTGGCACAGCTGTTCTTGAAAAAAGCAGTTTCTGTCAGAACTCTCTCATCCCCACCTACCACACAGGGTGTCTGTTGTGGGAAGGGGAAGGGAAAGGAGTTTGTAAGCCGCTCTGAGACTCCTTTGGGTAGTGAAGGGCGGCGTATAAATCCAATCTCTTCTTCTCTTCTCTTCTTCTAATCTGGGAGAACCACATTTGAGTCCCCAATCCTCCACATACAGCTGCTGGTGTGACCTTGGGTCAGTCATGGCTCTCTCAGAGCTGTTCTCTCAAGAGCAGTTCTCGAAAGAGTTCTCTCAGCCAAATGCTTCAAATGTTTTAGCACTAGAGATGTGCAGCAGATTCCAAATGCTGTTACTCCCCTCTTTCCTGCTACTGGTAGTTTCTTCTTACATTTGAAAAAAGTTTTATTGGGCAAGGTTGTTTCATCTGACAGACTTCTGCAGATAGAGTCCATTTCAAGGACACTTTATCAAAGATGGAACTCTACACTGTCCAAAGATCACATTCATCTTCACATCTCACACAATGCACGCAAGGACAGTCACCTTTCACTTTGTGTTTCTTATATATCTACAGAATGATTACAGACTTCATGTCTATAAGTTAGTGCTATGACAAGAGACTTTTTTCTTTTTGACACAAGGTTCATTGAGAGACCTTTGCTGTGCATATTAATAAATCAATGCTTTACAGTTGATCGAACATAACTTTTAAGGATTTGTATGGTATATCTCTCCCTTATTATAAAAGAGTTTTGGGTGCCAGAATTCTAAAATTGGCCCCTTTAGTGTTAGGCCGAAAAAACTGCCACTCGGAAGACACTGGCTGGGTTCATTGGCTGCTTTGTGCAGTCCCGGCCAGCGTTCCAAGGTCATTTACATATGGAAGCTGATTGGACTACACTCCATTCCACACCTCAAACTCACCCCCCCACAAGGCAGTTGGAATTTTCAGTTGGGAGAGGAGAATGATGTCAGCTGCTCCCTAGGCAGAGGCTGTGTGTGTGTGTGTGGTTGTAAAGACAGACAGGCAGATAAACGGTGGCTGATGGTTGCGAACTCCAGGTTCGAACTCCAGGACATAGGGTTGCCAACTCCAGGTTGGAAACTTCCAGGATATTTTAGGGATGAAGCCTGCTGAGGGTGGGATCTGAGGAGGAGGAGGAAGAGGGGGACCTCA